TAACTGATTTTTAAAAAAACAATAAAAATTCAAACAATTGCAAATGACAAGATTATTCCTTGCAGATTCAAATGAAATATGATTTTAAATGAGTTCTTGAATATCTGACAGAAATTGGAAATTTGATTATTTGAGCTACAGTTCATGTCCATTTCCTCTTGCACTAAAACACATGCATACTTTTCTGAAGGAAGATAATTGCCTTCAGTTTTTGGATGTCATGTTTTGGTTTCAGTCAGTCAGAGAAAACAAGATAAATATGTTTGATTCAAGACCATTGAGAGCATTTTTATTGCTTTTGACTCCTGAACAACAATTCAGAATCATGCTTTGACATAAATTAAAATATTCTTTTAAAGTATTCTTCAATTCTGAAGATTATACTTTAGTTCCTTTCCAGTTTTCTATGGCAAAAAGGAAATATTATAATCTGACAGGCAGTTTTGGCCTGGTCAGCTTTACAATATCATTTTCAGCAGGCTGTGTGAATAAGCTCTGAAGTTGTTTCTTTCTGATTTCTTTCAAAATGAATACTTTCTGAGCTGAGGCAGAATTGGGGTGGGGACTGTAGCTCTTGAATTTTTTTTCCAACTGTTTTGGGTGTTACTTTGGCAAAGTGCATGACCACACGTACATATACATATACAGCATTGAAATAACTGTTTGAGCTGTGGGCTGATGTAATAAAAAGCAGGATTAATTTCTGCATGAATAGTTTTAAAATTAAATACATGCACTATGCACACTTGAATCCAGATACTTTCAGCAAATTCCCCTGCCAAGGCACTGAAAATCTAACTGCTGATTATGTGATTTGTTAATTTGATATGGTTTGTCACAGCCATGCTTTTACAACACTAAAAAAAGGGAAGAAATTCTCTTCGAAAAAAATTGTCTAGCTCTTTCGTTGTTGCAGATCAGAGTAATGTCAGAAATTAGTTTGGTTAGACAATGGTAGTGGAAAGACTTTATTTGGAAAAACCCTGCAGTAGAATAAGTTAAGAACAATTGGCACATATTCTTATACAAGAACTAAAAACAAAGCAGTAGTTGTATTCCAGCTCTACATTCGGTTACTGTACTTGTCTAAGAAGATCTAATAATATCTCTAGAGTAACTGCATTTTTCCCCTTCTGTTCAATCATGCCCAATTCTCAGAGTTGGTCTGGACAAGTCCCTGCAATTTGCTTGGCAAGATTTTTCAGAAGTGGCTTTCCATTGCCCCTTCTGAGGGCTGAGGGAAAGTGACTGGCCTAAAGTCACCCAGTTAGTTTCATGCCCAAGGCAAGAATAGAATTCAGTCTCCTGGTTTCTAGCCTTAACAATTATACCAAACTGGCTCTCAAGAGCAAATACATGGGTGAATATCATCTAAAAGTAAACTATCAGCTTCCATCACTGTTAATTAGTTTGAAATAGGAGTAATTTGGTTTTTTTTATATACTTGTGGGAAGAAAATTGAACAGTAGTTGTTTTATAACAGTGAATAGTTATGAAGTCAACTAATGTGTAATTCTCAACCTACAGGTTGTGTAGGAGAATAAATGGCAAACTGTACTTAAGAGTTTTGTAAAATATATTTTAAAAAAGCAATTTAGTCATGCAGTAGCTAGCGTTCTATAAACTCAGAAGGTATAATTAAGATTATACATCCTACACGGACTAAATCGTTTGCTCTTCTAAAACAAATAAACAACCTCAAAAAGAATCAAATGCATTTGTATTTGTCTGGGACAAGACAACAGAAGTACAGTTTTAATAGTATCTCCAAAGTTTGTCCAAACCACGATCTGTAACTTCTTTTTCTTATTGTAAATCAAAATTTGAAGCCATGGTTTATGATGAGTTCTTTTAAAGATTGAATCATTAGTATAAAAGTGAGTTTACAAAATGCATATTCTGCTATTCAGTTCAAAATTTACCGGGTGATCTGCAGATAGAGTTGCAATCTGTTGAAGGGTAAACTCAACTACATATATTTCAATTTTTTTGCTTCTTGGGAAATAGGAAGAAATACATAAGAGCCTGACATTAAAAAGTTTATAGAAAAGAAAAGGAAAACATCCTTCACTGGACTTGAAAATAATCCCCTGTCTTATTGTACTGCATACTATTCAATATGTTTGGTAGGAGGTTATATTCACTGAAATAATAGGCCGAGAATACTCTTTGATTCAACATTGGGGTAAGAAATCCAGTAACCATATTCACATTTAGGACATGCAGACAATGGTAGCCTTTCATTTAGGCACTCCATCAGTTGATCCTTGAAGTTGTAACACACAGGTGTCAAACTTGATTGCGTCATGTGACGTATCGCGACAGTTTTTGCCTTTGTGCAGCTGGAATGGGTGTGGTCTGTGTGTGATCCATCCGGCCCGCGGGCTGTCAGTTTGACACCCCTGCTTTTATAGCACATCTAATCACAAAGGGAATCATGTCTAATAGCTATTTTTGTAACTAACTATTCATTTCATGAATTTGCCTATGTATTCTCAATTGTTCCTATACTATATACTGTGTGAAAAAAAGCACTTCAATTACTTGCTTTGAATCTTCCACCATTCAGCTTCATTTGATGACTTGGATTTCTAATATTTCTTCTCAATATGTAATTCAGTTCCTTTAGCACAAATTAAAAAAAAAAAGATGTGGGAAATTATTTCCAGCTGTGCATATGAGGAGGTGGATTTTAGCTATATTGGACAGAAACTAGTTTTGCTTTGTAGATTACAAATTGTGTCCAGAATAGGCATTGGTTTATAATTGATAGTGACTGCAACGACTCACTACTAAAAATACTCCTCATTTTATGACCATTCACTTAGTATCCATTCAAAATTACAACAGTATTGAAAAAGCAGATTTATGACCGGTCCTTGCACTTACAATCATCACATTATCGCAGCAGTCACATGATTGTAATTTGTGATCATCATTTGTGACCTTCTCAGCTGATTTCCAACAAGCAAAGTCAATGGGGGAAGCTGGACTCGCTTAATGACTGCAGCAAAAAAAGGTAGTAAAATAAGACACATTTATGTGATGACTCACTTAATGACCATATCACTTAGCAACAGACTTTCCAGTCCCAATTATGGCAGTAACTTGAGGACTACCTGAATTTATTAAAAATACAGTAAGTCCTTTTTTTATGCTTCTGTGTGAATAGGAAGGTGAGCTGTTTTAGGAAACAAAGTTAAAGTGAATTTTAAAGCAGATACAATTTTTTCAGACTCACATGGAATTTTTTCTTGGGAACTGTTAGACAATTGCTAGCTTAAATCCTGAAAACATGCTTGTCTCATAGTGCAATATGATTTGGTATTGGATTTAGATTTAGGGATTAAATCAGTGTCTTTGAATTTCTTTTTAAAAAATATTGCAAAATAGGCCGTTACCTACAGCTGATGAGCTCCAAAAAGAGCGAAACCTGTTAAAATAGGTCCTGTAGTATTGGCCTTAATAAGTAGTTCTTTGCATGGTCATATCTACACCTGTCTTTTTAAATTCTTCACAAATGAGCAAACCAGATAAATTCTAAACGCAGCCTGGAATCAACTATTACTCAGTGCTGGAGTTTATTAGGACTTTACCTGGCATTCCTGTTCATAAGTAATAATAATAATAATAATCTGGTTTTCTGAGCATTTTTCGATTTTTCTTCATCATAGCATCTACTTTTCTACATCATGCTTTCCTGTTTTAATGTACAACATATTTTTCCTGATTTAATCTCACAAGAGAAATGAGATGAAGAAAGTTAAATGGTATTTTTAAAATTTAACACTCCAAAAACATAATTGGCATATCTGTGAAGAACTTGGACAGATATGCTGGTTTGGCATAATTGTTCAGGTAGTCCTTAAGTTGCAATCATTTATTTGGACCATAGGGTTCAACGTTACAACAGCGTTGAAAAACAACTGAATTTACAGTTCAATTTACAACTTTTTATGCTGTATATTTATGTAGTGTATATTGGAGGTACAGACCCTTTGAGAGATGTATGCAATGAAATTTCATTTTAATGTATGCCGATTAGTGTACATTCAAAGTGACAATAAAGTTAGTCTACGTCTAAAGTCCTTTCACCTACAATTGTTGCATCTGTGATCAAAATTTGGATGCTTTGCAACCAACATGCATTTACAACTGTTGCAGCTTCTCGGGGTTGTGTGATTGCCATTTGTGACTTTCCCAGCCGGCTTCTGACAAGCAAAATCAGGGAGGAACTTTGATTCTCTTAACGACTGCATGATTCACTTAACTGGCAAAAAAGGTCATAAAATAGGACATGATTCATTTAACTACCTTGCTTAGCAATAGAAATTCTGTTCCCAATTATGGTTGTAAATTGAGGACCACTTGCATTTATGTATAAATAAATAAATACTAGTGATCTTGAATTCCTGGGTTTTTTTTTAAATAAAAATCAATGTTATAGTAAAAAAAAAAGTTAGTTCTTAACTATACTTAAAGAATATCATATAACTCAGTCTTGATGTTCTCATTTCTTAAACTGATTTAATAATGAAGCCAACGGAAAAGGACCGACCATCTGTTCATAGCTGCAAGATGTTTTTTTTCAAGAATACCCTCACCATGAAAATTATAATTGCACCATTAGGGGCTATATTTAACAGAACAGTTCCTAATAGGAAGAAGAGCTTGTGCTCTAGTGCAGTGTAGGAAGAAGCACGTATTTCCCCTTTTGAATCTCCCAGCCCAACAGTAAATTAACTGTTCTTCAAGTTTATTTGCTGGTGGTTACAGTAGAAAGTTAATTATTATGGATCTTTATTAAAACAGAGGTGTGGAAGTGTCTTTGAACTTCTGGTATTTGTTTCCTGTTCTGCATAGTTTAACTCAGTGAATATATAGGTTTTTATTTGGCTGTTTTCTGCCATAAGAGTTGAATAATGAAAGAGTTTATGAATTTCTTCTTGGTATCTAAATTCTCTCCGAACAGCCTGCTAAAATTCTAAATTTGTTTTTAGGATGATTGAAGAAAGTGGAAAGAGGAGGAGGACAATGGCAGAGAAAAGACAGCTCTTCATGGAAATGAGTGAGTAGCAGTCTTAAAAGTTTGAAACTTCAATTAAAAATGTGTTGCAGCCTCTTCAAAGAATGTAATCAGTTCCTGTTTCTCCTTAAATTATTACATTGAAATAACAGGGTGTTGTTTCTTGAGAGTTTGTGCCCTAGCATCAGTCTTTAAATAAGATTTAGTGGTGACCTTATATTACCTTTTCCCATTCCACACTTATTTCTCACTGATGGTAAATTTGGATTCTAGAATGTACTATTTCATACTCCTTATGCAATGTATAAATAAGTTAAATTTTGCCACAGAAATGCCAAATGTATGCCAAATGTAAAAATGCCACAGATAAATATTTTTTTAATATGATAGTTAACCATACATTGATTACTTTTTGTGTGGTGGAATAAATGAACACACACGAGAGAGGGTGGAGTATGATACAGAATTAGTATAATCCAGATAAAAGTTTACAACTCCTTAAGGATTAAGTTTCTAATGTAGTTGCGGTTGTAGTTAGACAGCATAACGTAATAAAAGTCCTCTTTTCATTTTAAAATTGGAATACATGTGGGAAAGCTCTTTGCTTTTAATTTGTAGGGGCTCAGAATTTTGATGTCATCCGACTGTCAACATATCGGACTGCCTGCAAACTCAGATTTGTGCAAAAAAGATGTAATTGTAAGTAGAAAACATGACTTTGGGGGGAGGGTAGACCTTCATTAAGACATGTTTCAAATTAACAGTTCAAACTAATTTTTCAGTCATGATGGAAAATGTGAACATTTTGAAGTGATAATAGAAAATGAAAAAAAATCCTACTCTTTCTGTTTAGTGGAAGAATTGCTGTAACGATGCTTTTCAAGTTTGTGTAGGATTTCCACAAAAACTAATATTATTCTAAACATTTTGTTGATACACCATCACTGGCTTTGTACAATATACTAAATACTAAGCCTGAGTTAACAAAACACAATATTTATTTTATATAAATGTGTGTTTATATAGCATATTCAAGATACAAGGTATGCTTTTTATTTGTTTGTTTATGTATGTACAGGTTACCTATATTACCTATATACAGGTAGTCCTTACTTACTGACCACTTATTCAATGACTGAAGTTGTGATGGCACTGAACAAGTGTACTTATGACCAGGCCTTGAAGTTCTGGCCATTGCAGTGCTCCTGCAGTCACCTGATCACAGTTCAGGTGCTCATACTTCCAACAGTTGGAGCACCTTTCTTGCTAGCTTCCTATAAGCAAAATCAATGGGGAAGATAGTGGGGAAGGTTGCAAGTTGCTTTGGTAAGTTCCCTACCCTTCCTGCACACCTAATTACACCCTCCCACCTTGGGCCGTCCTGTACTCACACGTACCTACCAGCGATCTTCTTCCCAGCCTCCCTGTGCTCACATGCACCCTGCTCCCTCTTTCCTAGATCTTCCTATGTTGTACACACCCCGCACCCTCCTTCCTGACTTTCCTGTGCTCGCACATATCCCGCACCCTTCTCTAAGCTTGCATGCACCCCACATCCTTCTTCCTGGGTCTCACTGCTTTTGCGCCAACCCTGCACCCTCCTTCCCTGACACTTATGCACTTGCACATACCCCTTATCCTCCTTCCTGGGCCTCTCTTTGTTTGCATGCACCCTACATCCTCCTTCTTGAGTCTCCCTGATTTTGCATATATCCCCCCTCCCCCTCCCAGGCTTCCCTTTGCTTGCTCGCATGCACCCCAAGTCATTATAAACACCCCTCAAATCCTCAATGAGTGCCATAAATATATAATAGCTTAACATGATGGCTCGGTTCAGCCAATGGTCTAAAACAGGCTGAATTTCTACAATATGATGGACCTGGACCATAAACCACTGATTTCCCTTTCTCTAGCATGTTGTAAACACTCAGAAATGCATTCTTAACCTATTCTATTCTTTAATAGATAGAGGTTGTAAATAAGAATCTCTGGGATGAAATCCCCCTTGAAATCCTATCATATTGCCATTCTGTAAGGCTGTGATGACCTGCTTTTTCTCCTAGGCCCTGGGTTAAACTGGATGGAGCACTTTGCAGGATGTGTTTTTTTTTACGTATGAGTGTGTGTGTTTTGTATACAGTGACCAGTTACCATCTTGTTTTGTTTTTCTATTGTGTTTTTCTATTTTATTATATTGTGAGCCATGCCAAGTCAGTTTGCGTACTAAATTAAATTAAATAAACAAATAAGTAATGCAGAAATAGGCCACAAGCTGCATTCATTTTGACCAAGGCTGCCAGAAAATAAGTGGCAACCCCTCACATGTAGGCAAGTATACATTTTTGGAGTAGTTGAAGGGGTAGTTAATGAATGTGCCTATTTTAGGACTTACACGTTGCTTAGGTGTTTCATTTCAGAATGCTAAGAAATTATGCCTTTTGGTTTTCAGCAGTCATGATCCACTAGGATCCTTAGGCTGAGAAATGAGAACTGGGGCCATATGCAGCCCTGGGAATGGATTGTGGTACAGTCAGTCCTTGGCTTATGTTCATTTGTTCAGCAACTGTTCAAAGCTACAAAAAAATGGGCACACGACTGGTCCCCAGAGTTCTGGCCCTGGCAGCAACCCTGCAGCCTCCTGATCGCACTCTGGGTGCTCAGGTCACCAGCTTGTGATTACAACATTGCAGAGACCATGGTCATGTGGTCACCATTTGATAAGCAAGGTCAGTGGGAAAGCTGGCAGGAAAGGTCATAAGTGGCTCCAGTAAATCGGCCTCACCCGTAACAGCCTCCATCCCCAGGCAGCCTCCATCGACCCCATCCAGGCCCTCTTCTATGCCTTTGGTTTTCAGCAGTCATGATTACTAGGATCCTTAGGCTGAGAAATGAGAACTGGGGCCTGTATCAGGCCTCCCAAGTCCTTCCCAACCTCCATCAACTCATGCATGGCCTACACTGGGCCTCCCAAGTGCTTCTCTCCCTCTCTTGACTCTCTTGACTCGTGAGATTTGCGCAGGCCTCCCAGGGCCTATACTGGCCCTATTATCCCAATGCCATTATAACCCAAAAAATAGCAATAGCAATAGCACCTAGACTTATATACCGCTTCACAGTGCTTTACAGCCCTCTCTAAGCAGTTTACAGAACCAGTATATTGCCCCCCAACAATCAGGATCCTCATTTTACTGACCTCGAAAGGATGGAAGGCTGAGTCAACTTTGAGCCAGTCAGGATCGAACTGCCGAACTGCTGGCAATCGGCAGTCAACAGAATTAGCCTGCAATACTGTATTCTAATACTATGGCTTATACCTTTACAGTTATCTTTTTTTTTTTCTTCAAAAAAATAGGGTGAAATGTCTATTCTAGCTGCTGGATCTAGACAGGTGAAAGTGAAAAGAAAGGACATGAGGAGTAGATTTTGACTTCATCTATGCTATTTGACAAAAGAATTTGACAAAAGATCTGGGGCTCATTTCTTTTACATGCTGTTCACAGCAATCAGAATTTAGAAATATTTGTCCTAATTTATCACTTGTTTCTGTTCACCTCACCTTGACTTGATTATCAGACATTGAAAAATACAAGTATAACAAAGAGGGGAAAAAGGTAGTTCCATCTTGGTCAGTGTAGATTTCGTGGGTCTTTTATATGCAATCCAGAGGACTTTTTACACTGGCCGCTATCAAATGATGGTGATGTGGAAGTTAGAGAAAATTCTCAATACAGTATTTATGTTCTTGAAAACAAATGTGCCTGAATGAAGGCAAATGCTGTGGCAGTAGAGAAAATTTTGCCTTTCATGAAATAGAAGATAGTATTCAATGAGGATTGTGTAGTCTAGTAGTTCTTAAAAGACCTAAAGCTGGGAGTATAATGTACAATTTTGAAGGTATGCCAAAAGGCAGGACAGGAAAAATGTGTTAGGAGGAAGTATGTGTAAATTATAATTGCATTATGTGGTACAGAGCAAATTCCTGTTACTTGTTAAAAATAATGTTGCAAGAAGAGGGTGTATTAACGAATACATAATAATATAGCATCAAGAAATTGCAGATGATGGGAGAGCTCATGTTGGCATAGCCAACATGAGTGTGTTCACTGGAACAAAAGAAACTGTTCCCTTCAGTTAATTATTAACTTTTAGAGCACAGCCTGACAGTTTCATTCATGGAGTCACAAAATTCTAAGGGTCATGGCACCGTGAATTTTAGAATGCTTATTTTAAGAGGTTCATAGATAAATATAAGTTATTTTTATGAAAGGAACCTCTGCAATTTTTATTATTACGCAATTCTTTTATAGAAGAATTTCCTTTTTAAAAAATATATAGGTAAGATTGTAACAAAGGGTGTATTAGTAGCTATAAAATCATAGAAATGAAAGAGGCTGTTTAGTCCAAGTTCTGGCTTACTGCAGGAGTTAATTATTAAAGCATCTTTAACAGATGGTTTTCTGGCCTCTGCTTGAACATGTGAAAAGGAGCCCATCACCGCCCTGGATAATTGGCACCGCTGCCAAGCTGTTTTTATAGTTAGCATGCTTTTTCCTAACATTTAGCCAGAAACTGTCTTCTTGTAATTTAAACCCAGGAATGTGCAAAATTTACTGATTTGATAGTGGAATATTCTGGAGAACTTTCTCCCGGACCATGCCATTCTGGAACATCATGTCTGAAACACTTCAAATTGCTTCTGATTTGTAGGATTTGCTTCTGGAAATTGCTAAATTATTTAGTACAGTAGATCAGAGAGGGAACAGAATGTTCTGTAGTTGGGTTTTTTTAAAATTTTAAATAAATCAGTTTATTTAATTTACTGAGGCATATAGGTTGCTCCAATCTCAAACAGCTTACTATCCCTAGTTTATTATTTATTATTCCATGAAATAATGTTTGGGATGACAGAGGACAGACCTTGACTATATGTATGACCCTCCTGTAGTCTTCCCCCCATCCCCACAAAGGCTAGACATTTCCAGTTCTTTCCAGTTCTTGTAAGTTTCCATGCTATAATTCTCCTATTCTACCCAGTTTCTTTGCATCTTCCTGAAATAGTGGTACTCAGAAGTGGATAAATACATCAGGTAGCCTTGGACCAATGCAGACTCTAGTAGTAATATTACTTTCTGTGATTTAGAAACTATACTTCTATTGAGGCATCAAAAAGCCTCTATTTGTAGGAAAGCATTGCTGGGAAGCAAGTATTTGAGTTGTGAACCAGTTTTATAATAGATTTAGGAGGATTGAAGGAGATAATGTTGGTATGCAGTTAAAATTATACTGTTGAACCAGCTCAAATAAGTAAGGTTAGGAGTGGAGGAAAGCATTGCTGGAAAGCAATCGATTAAGATGCGAACCAGCCAAAAAATAAACTCAGGAGGAAGTGGAGGAGATAATACTGGAGAATAGTTAAGCTAAACTGTGAACCAGTTAAATAAATAGAGATAGAAGTGGCGGAAAACACTGTTGGGAAATAGCTATTTAAATTATGAATCAGTTAAATATTAGACTTTAAAATAAAGTATTTTGGGAGTGACAAATTCTAAATGGAAATGTTGATTGATTTAGAAACAATTAAGAGAGGAGGAAAATATTCTTTGTCAAGATTATGGATGCTAGTTGCCATTTAAAAGAGGTACAATATAGACTCGATGTAATAGGTCTTAGAAATGAGGAATATATATGAAATATTGATTGTTAAAATGACAAAGATTTGGAATGATGTCTATTTGGAAATAATTGTTTAGAATTTAGGGTGACATAGTAGAATGTTTAAAATCTAAATGTTTAGAATAAGATTTTTTTTCTTTTTTTTTTTAAGAGGTAAATGGATAAAATTTGGAACAAAATTGGTTGAGGGAATGTGAGTAATTGTATTTACTTTATACCGGATCAAATCCTTGCTCTAAAAAAATGTATTTTATGTTTTATGTTTAAAAAAAAAAAAAACTTTCCCCCCAAAAAAAGCCTCTATTTGTTTTTGTTTTTAATAAAATAGTTAAATCACACTGGTAACTCTTTCAGCTATAATTCTGAGGTCCTTTTCACACGTTTTATTACCAAGGCAAATATTCCCCACCCTGTATAATAATAATAATAATAATAATAATAATAATAATAATAATAATAATAATTTTATTTCTATACCGCCCTTCTCCCAAAGGACTCAGGGCGGTGTACAGCCAATTTAAAAACACAAGACACAACAATGATTAAAAATTAAAATAATTAAATAGATTTGGCCGGTTTAAAACCCCAAAAATTTAAAATACCCCAATTTAAAATTATTATATTGATAGCCCGGCCTGGCGGAACAACAGGGTCTTCAGTGGCAGCAAAACACCCGGAGGTCGGAGATCTTACGTATTTCTGGGGGCAGTTCATTCCACAGGGCTGGGGCTCCCACAGAGAAGGCCCTTCCCCTGGGTGTCACCAGCCGACATAACTTGGCTGATGGCACCCTGAGGAGACCCTCTCTGTGGGAGCGAACTGGCCGGTGGGAGGCTATTGGTGGCAGAAGTTGGTCTCGAAGGTACCCGGGTTCTGTGCCATGGAGCGCTTTAAAGGTGATGACCAACACCTTGAATCGCACCCGGAAGACCACTGGGAGCCAGTGCAGCTTGCGCAGGAGAGGTGTCACGCGGGCACAACGAGTTGCGCCCATAACCACCCGCGCGGCCGCATTCTGGACCAGTTGGAGCCTCCGAGTGCTCTTCAAGGGGAGCCCCATGTAGAGAGCATTGCAATAGTCCAGCCGGGAGGTGACAAGGGCGTGAGTGACCGTGCGCAAGGCGTCCCAGTCCAGAAAGGGCTGCAACTGGCAGATCAGGCGAACCTGATAAAAGCCCCCCCTGGCCACGGCCGTCATATGCTCTTCTAAAGACAGCCGTGCATCCAGGAGGACACCCAGATTGCGAGCCCTCTCTGTGGGGGGCAAAGATTCACCCCCAATAGTCAGCAATGGCACCTGCTGGCTATATCGGGACGCCGGCAGCCACAGCCACTCGGTCTTGGACGGGTTGAGTCTGAGCCTGTTCCTCCCCATCCAGACCCGCACAGCCTCCAGGCAGCGAGACATCACATCAAGGGCATCATTGGGGTGGTCTGGGGTGGAGATGTACAGCTGAGTATCATTAGCGTACAGATGACACTTCACCCCAAAACCACGGATGATCTCACCCAGCGGCTTCACATAAATGTTGAACAGAAGGGGCGAGAGGACCGACCCTTGTGGCACTCCCCATGCGAGACGCCTCGAGGTCGACCTCTGCCCCCCTGCCAACACAAACTGCAAGCGGTCGGAGAGGAAGGAGGAGAACCACCGCAGAACGGTGCCCCCTATTCCTAACCCTCTCAACCGCTGCAGCATGATACCATGGTCGATGGTATCAAAAGCTGCTGAGAGATCTAATAGGACTAGGACAGAGGAGCAACCCCTGTTCCGAGCCCTCCAAAGATCATCCACCAACGCGACCAATGCCGTTTCTGTGCTGTGCCCCTGCCTGAAGCCCGACTGGTACGGATCTAGATAGATAGCTTCATCCAGGTGCCCGGGCAGTTGTCGTGCCACCACACTCTCAACAACCTTCTCCACAAAACGAAGGTTGGAGACCAGATGGTAGTTGCCTGCCTTCCTTCCTTCCTTCCTTCCTTCCTTCCTTCCTTCCTTCCTTCCTTCCTTCCTTCCTTCTGATTTTATTTATAACACCTTACATCACTTGGGGCTTATATATGTTGCCTATTCTGGGTAGAATTTGCTTGCCTAGTACAAGTAAACAGGAAATGTTCCACTTATTTATTGTAAGGTGTGGCAGCAAAATTACATGGAGCTGAACATTTTCAGTGAGCTCCCCCTCAGGTGAAAGTAACTCCCATGCTCATGGTTATTCAGAAACTTTTAAGATGTAGCTTTTCTAGATGACTTTTGGAATTTGATTTTGGTCTGAGCCAGACATGGCACCAGAAATTTTGTTTAATGTTGTTATTTTTATTTTTGATTGTTGTACATATTGTATAATCCCTTAATTGTCCATAGATTGAAGCAATATAGAAACCTTACGATTATTTTTTTGTAATATTTGTAATATTTTTGTTTTTCCAGTACATCTTGTGGATATCTGGAATATGATTGAAGCCTTCAGAGATAATGGCCTTAACACATTGGACCATAATACAGAGATCAATGTATCTCGACTAGAAACTATCATTTCTTCCATTTACTATCAGCTGAATAAACGCCTTCCATCTACTCACCAGATCAGTGTGGAGCAATCCATCAGCCTTCTCCTCAACTTCATGATAGCAGCATATGATAGGCAAGTGGTTTTGTTCTTGAAGCAATCTATGTTTCCTCTGACCAAAAACTAGGTGGCCTGGAGTAAGCCTGAGATCTATAGAACCAAAGTTGGAGCCTGGGTCAATAGAGGCAATCTTAGCTTTTCTAACTGTGATTTGTTGAATTAATTGAATAGTCAAAACCAAAACTGAAGTTTTTAAGACAAGAATTTTTTATAGGTAGTCCTCGGTTAACAAAACAGTAGTTGGGACAGAATTTCTGTTGCTAAGTGATACAGTCACATAACTGTGTTGCTTAGCGATGACAGTTGCAGCACTTCCTAGTTGCTGTCATTAAGCAGCAACTGAGACATCATTAAATAGTGACCATATGAGGACATCATATGGTCACTATTTGTTAACTTCTGGCTTCCCCATTGACTTTGCTTGTAAGAAGCTGGCAAAGAAGGTTGCAGATGGTGACCAAGTGACCTCAGAGATGTTGCAATGGCCAGAACTTCAAGAACTGGTCATAAGTACTACTCGGTCAACCCCATTATAAGTTTGCTCACTGAACAAATGGTCATTAAGCAAGGATCGTCTGTATTTTTCTTTCTTCTTTTCCCTTTTCCCTTTTAGATTGTAATACTAGGAATGGCAACTGCTTTACTTTTCCTTGACTGTAAACTACAATAGCAAATACTACCGTATATACTTGAGTATAAGCCGACCCGAATATAAGCCGGGGCACCTAATTTTACCACAAAAAACTGGGAAAATTTATTGACTCAAGTATAAGCCTAGGGTGGGAAATGCAGCAGCTACTGGTAAATTTCAAAATAAAAATAGATACCAATAAAATTACATTAATTGAGGCATCAGTAGGTTAAATGTTTTTGAATATTGATTTCAAAGAAAAACAGTAAACTAGCTCTGTAAGTGGAAAAGAGGATCAACAAAAACAATTTGGTATCAACAATAACTTTAAAAGTACTGTATATGAATTGGGTAGCTATATAAATTTGTTTAATAAATACAATGGGAAAAGTATTTGGGGATTCCAGAATTTACATGGCACTAATTGGATTTTTGATCTCCCTTTTATTTTGAGACATAATAGACTAGTTTTACACTATAAAAAAATTACACAAGAGAATTTTGCTTCCAGGGGGCTGCAGGGAGTCTTGCTAGGCACCCCCCTCATGCCCCTAGCAAGCCTTCCTGCAGCCCCTGGGAACCAAAAAGGGGCCCGGGGAGGGACGCTGCACTCTCCCCATGCCCCATTTTACCTTTAGCAAGCCTCCCTGCAGCCCCTGGGAGCCAAAAAGGGACATGCGGGAGGGGCGCTGCACCCCTCCACGCCCCGTTTTACCTTTAGCAAGCCTCTCTGCAGCCCCTGGGAGCCAAAACGGTTGCAGGAAAAAAGGCATTTTTTCCTTACTCGAGTATAAACCGAGGGGGGCTTTTTTCAGCATAAAAAATGTGCTGAAAAACTCGGCTTATACTTGAGTATATACGGTATGTTTCTTTATTCAGAAGCCTTCTATTTAAAACATCAAATTAGTATGTATGTACAGCTCAGTGGCTAAGACTCTGAGCTTGTTGATCAGAAAGGTTAGCAGTTTGGCAGTTCGAATCCCTAGCGCTGCATAACAGAGTGAGCTCCTGTTACTTGTCTCAGCTTCTGACAACCTAGCAGTTTGAAAGCATGTAAAAATGCAAGTAGAAAAATAGGGATCACCTTGGTGGGAAGGTAACAGCGTTCCATGCGCCTTCGGCGTTTAGTCATGCCGGTCACATGACCACGGAATTGTCATCAGACAGCGCTGGCTCTTTGGCTTAGAAACAGAGATGAGCACCGCCCCCTAGAGTTGGGAACGACTAGCACGTATGTGCGAGGGGAACCTTTACCTTTACCTTTTTACTTGGTAGCCAACACATTTTTTCCTATTAGTCATTGCCTGATGAGGGTGCCTTTCCTTTTTCACTCAGCAACTGGCAATCTTTCCTCCCACATAAGGGAGAAGACTAAGTAGAGCAAACAGCATTGTTCTGTAGAAGTTTAAGTCCTTTATATGATTTTTTAAAAAGGAAAATTAAACATCCTCTAGAAACATTATTGTGACCATCTGTTTTGAAACCTGGGTTAAAAATGCCAGGAAATTATACTTTTTTTCTTGATCTTTGTTCCTAGTCTGCAAAGCCCAGTTTGCAGACAGACTTTTCACTTTTCACTTGTTACTCTAGCTTTCAGATGATAAAAGAGAACAGATCTGTGCCAAGCTTTGGTTTGGTTGTTTGGTTTTTTTTTTTTAAATTTTGTTGTGGAGGTGGAAGTTGAAAGAAAGAAACATTTTCAGTTCCTGCAGAAGGAAGGAAGCAGGCTGTGAACAACTGAAGGAAGTAAAAAGCAGTCTATTTACAAAGCAAACTTCCTTCAAATAAATTTGTAGTTAGTTTGAAGCAGAATAGGAATTTATTGACTGGATAAATTTGGAAGGATTCATTTGCAGGGTGAGAAATAGTGGCTAAAACTTCAAAATTTATTTAGCAGCTATATTTAATTCCAGAAAGAGGAGAGAGGCAAAAGAGATTGGTTGGATTGAATCATCATATTTGGTCAGTTTGTTTTAGCCATAAATAACTGCTGAATAAGCCCATCAAAATGTGAACACAGACTTATCCAAAAACTTCTTACAAGCTTTTTTGTTAATTGTGATGTATAGCACCTGAACATACTCTTACAACTCTTACATACTAAGATCTCATCTATAGCCTCTTTGGCAAAGATATAAGAAGTACCATGCATATAATATTTAAATTGCCACTGCGGGCTCTTTTGATAGAGATACTGATATAGAAAATGACAATATTGGTGAGGCAATTGATAGCTTCTCAAATCTACACACATCCAGCTAAGTGAAACTGTCTTTGTATATAGCTTGGAACACTGAGGCAATTGAGAACTGAAACATAATCTACTACAGAATTAATACAAATAACTCTGTAGAATTAAAACCCCATAACAAATTATTGTATAAGCAGAATTCTTTTTTCAGATAGAAGATATGTGTCTTTTAGGTATCTGACCTTGATTTAACAATTCCAGAAACTGCTTGCGTTGTATAATAGATGAGGTGAATTCCTCTTAAGTTCAGTTAGTTCTCTTTTCTCATATTTTTTTTCCTAGCAGAAAAGTAGCTTTTTTTTGACAAATATTGTTATATGTTGTCCTGTTGAATAAAATGGTAGCTGTCCATAAATCAGATGCTTTCTTACTCCAGCAGTAATTTAAAATTTCTTATGTAGTGTGTATGGTTTATCTTTTACAGTGAAGGTCATGGAAAATTGACAGTGTTTTCCATAAAGGCAATGATGGCAACTATGTGTGGTGGAAAAATTCTGGACAAGTTAAGATGTGAGTATTTTGAGCTAATAATCTATTATTAAAATTTTATGGAAACAAACACCAACTTTGTGGCATTTAAAATGCTTACTTTCATCATTGTTTTTTTTGCTATGGGATAGAATGAGATTATATAACATTATAGCAATAGCAATAACACTTAGGTTTATATACCGCTTCATGGTGCTTTACAGCCCTATCTAAGCAGTTTACAGAGTCAGCATATTGCCCCCAACAGTCTCATTTTACCCACCTCGGAAGGATGGAAGACTGAGTTAACCTTAAGCCGGTGAAAATCGAACAGCTAGCAGTCAGCAGAATTAGCTTGCAATTCTGCATTCTAATCACTGTGCCACCACGGTTCCTATTATTATCCTTTACTTTTTTCTTTTATTCAGGGAATATACTTATTTGTAAAATAGTAAGACTTTACAACAAATGAACTGCCTGCTGAATGTTAGGGTTTAAATATTAAACATATAACATATTGTGAGCCACATTTTCATATCTGCCTTTGATTTGCATTTTAGATAGTTTCTCTCAAATGTCAGATTCCAATGGACTGATGATATTTTCAAAATTTGACCAGTTTCTAAGAGAAATTCTGAAACTTCCTACAGCTATTTTTGAAGGGCCTTCTTTTGGATACACAGAAAACTCTGTGCGAACATGTTTTCCTCAGCAGGTAAGCTTTATGTGAGATGATACACAGGGCTTTAAATGCTGACATATTCAATGTCCTCCAAATTAATCATAAAAGATGAGTCTATGAAAGACTAAGTTCCCTTTCTAATTTTCTAGAAAAACACAGCTCCCTGATATACCGTAATTTTCAGACTATAAGACACACTTCCCCCCCCCCAAGAAAAGGGGGTGGAAATGTCTGTGCGTCTTATAGAGTGAATACGGGCCTCTTTTTGGCCTCTCAAACCCTCCATGGGTCCCATTTTTGCCCTTCCGGGCATCCAGAAGAACTCTGCAGAAACCCTCCACTCATCCCATTTTCGGCCTCCCTGACTCTCTGACCAAAACGGGACCTGCAGAGTGCTTCTGGAAGTCAGGGAAGGCAAAATGGGACGCACGGAGTCAAAAAATTTTTTTCTTGTTTTCCTCCTCTAAACCTATGTGTGTCTTATGGTCTGGTGCGACTTATAGTCTGAAAAATACAGTATATTCATTCATTTGTTCATTCATCCTAAAATAAACACACATTTCTAAAATATATTTTAAAGAAAAGCGTAGGGGATAACAATGCTGCTTTGCCTTTTAATTAAATTCTAATGCAAATAACCTATTTTATAGATTTATTATAACTGTAAGATAAATTTGAGTATATTGAGACTAAAATGCTATCTAGTAAAAAAACACAATTGAATCAGAATTTCTTTATTTTTAAGATTAATGGATTTTGGAGAGGGAAAGATGCATTTAGCAATGCGTTTAACTCTGCCATAGAACTCAAAAACACATAACCTTAATTCAGCTGTATTGTGTGCTTTATGTTTCTTACAAGCATTGTTTTGTATTGGGTAGGTTTTTTTACTCACTTATTAGTCCAGTTCTTTTTGGCTTTTCTCTGAACTTTTATTTGTTTATTTTGCAGAAAAAAGTAACATTAAACATGTTTTTAGACACCTTAATGGCTGACCCTCCACCCCAGTGCCTTGTGTGGCTACCTCTGATGCATAGACTTGCCCATGTTGAAAATGGTATGTGGCCTATACTCCTGAACTGTTTTTTACATGTATGAGCTTTGTGCTTCCAAGTTCACTGAATTATCTGTTGCAACCTGGGTGCTCTTTAAGTCAAACTTGTGTGACTTAATGTGCAACGGAATGATATGCGTGTCTGGAACATTCTGTGAACTTGTTTAAGTTCAATATTTGAACTTAAACAATATTTAAGTCTACCGTAGCATGTATCATTGAGTTTCACTTTAGTAAAAAAAAAATTTAAATCCTTGTTGAATCAAGTCTAGGCCCAATCTAATCCACCATTCTACTTCTCCTCAATATCTAGTCATTACTTCTGAGGGGCTGAAATGTAGACTATGAGCTGACGTATTTTCCTTGACAACTGGTAGGCAACAGCATACTGCTTATGGTCTTGGAAACAGTGTACAGCTCCCATTGGTGTGAGCTAATTATAACCTTACATTCCGTGAATTTGTCTAACTTCTTTTTAAGTCTTCTGTTGGGTCCCTTCACAAACTATGATCTAAATCAGAGGTCTTCAAACTTGGCAGCTTTAAGACTTGTGGACTTCAACTCACAGATAGCTGGCTGGAGAATTCTGGGAGTTGAAGTCCAGAAGTCTTAAAGCTGCTAAGTTTGAAGACCTCTGTTCTAAATGAACCATTCTTGTATCTGATGCCTTCCTTAGGAGCAGTGGCATGGACAAGTTCATTTAAGTATACCTTTCTTGATCTGCAATAAGATTAATTTTCATGATTCCCCTCTTGATTTTTCTAAGTCAAATTTGGTTACAATTTTTTTTTCTAGGAGTGCTATTCTTCACTACTTCTATGTTGAACTTGATAGCAGTGTGGTTGTTATTTCAAAGAGTCTCATTAACAGCTACACCTCATACCCTGTTCCGGGGGAGGACTCTGTAATCATTCCCATTGACTGTCATTAAGAGAATCCTAATCTCAACTTCATCTTCCTAAGTCTTAACTTAAAATATTGCACAGTGTAGCAATTATAGACAGGAGATATGAGCTGGAAGATCCCCTCCCTCCATTCCAAGCTTGGATTGGCCTTGCACCTTTACAAAATATCTGGTAAGCTTAGAGACTAATCAGTTTACCTTAGCCTCTGTCCAATATTTCATAGCTATTAAACTCTTCACTTGCTAGTAATTGGGGTTGTGTTTGTTATTGTTTGACTTATCTAAAACCAGAAAAAAGGGTAGAACTAGAAGTTTATAGACAATAAGGTAAAGGTTTCCCGCACATGTATACTAGCCGTTTCTGGCTCTAGGGAGCGATGCTCATCTCCGTTTCAAAGCCGAAGAGCCAGTGCTGTCCAAAGACGTCTCCATGGTCATGTGGCCGACATGACTCAGCTCCGAAGGCACACGGAGCACTGTTACCTTCCCACCAAAGTGGTCCCTATTTTTCTACTTGCATTTTTTACATGCTTTCAAACTGCTAGGTTGGCAGAAGCTGAGACAAGTAACAGCACTACGTTATGCGGCACTAGGGTTTCAAACCATTGAACTGCCGACCTTCTGATCGACAAGCTCAGCATCTTAGCCACTGAGCCACTGTGTCCTCTTTATAGACAATATATGACTCCTATTTAAAGTACAGTATGTAGAATTTTCGTAACACTAGTCTCATTGAGGACCTTTTATGCAGTTTAGGACGAAGAGGCCTGTTTTTTCATATGCAGTTCTTACTATTCCTTTTTTCCCCTTTTATCTCCTTCAAGTCTTCCATCCTGTGGAATGTTCTTACTGCCGGTGTGAGAGCATGATGGGCTTCCGATACCGATGCCAGCAGTGCCACAACTATCAGCTCTGTCAAAACTGTTTTTGGCGTGGCCATGCAAATGGCCCTCACAGCAACCAGCATCAAATGAAAGAGCATTCCTCTTGGGTAATCACTCTCTAATGTATTCTTTTCTCTAGAGGCAGGTCCGGTGCCATTGTAGTATGTGAGTGATAAGCAAGGAACATTCCACAGTCTGCAGCCATATTGGGGTGAATGATGGACAGACCAAACAACATACTTTTTAGTACTGTTGGTCCTTTGATTAAAATAGAAAGCCCCACAGCACTCTGAGGGCTTGAACAGTGCAATAAAAATATGTGAGGGGTTACAATTCTGATGCACTCTGAACAAGTTGCCTTGATGGAATATTTAGAGGCCGCTTGTATGAGTTGTTTCCAGAACATAGATAACAATGGGTTTTTTTTATTAGTATACTATAATACTCGTGACCAGGGATGGCTTCTAAGGTGACAAGTATGTTAGGTTTGGCTGTAGGAACAAGCTGGTTATCTTTTGGTTGCTTTGCTGCTCAGCTGGATCCCTCTCTGGTTCCTAGATCTGGTCTCTGGGCTGGTGTTGGAATCTCCTTGTTTTATGATGCTGGGTGATTTCAGTCTCCATGCCTAGGGACCTGGTCAGGGAAAACTTAAGAATTCTTAGCTGTCATAGCAAGTATAGTCTTAGCAAATGTAATCTATAACCCATCACACTCGGTTGCCATACATCAGACCTTGTGTTTGCCTTGGAGCAATTAAATTATAATCATAATATAGAGAATATTACTGCATTAAAGAAGGAAATACCTCAAAAAAGTTTTATGATAGAAAGCTAATTTAACCTTATGAGCCTTATTATCAATTATTTTGGCATAATTAATAGAGCAGGGTAGTTTTTGTGCCCAACAGTTAATTTAGGGAATTTATGGAAAGGCGCAGTGGCGTAGAGGTGAAGACGTTCACTTCCCACCTAGACCCTGTCAATTGCCCCAACTCCACCCTGAAAAAGGGATTATAGGGTCATGAAAAGAAAAAAAAAAAGTTAATTTAGGGAATTTATAAATAGCTCATTTAGGGAATAAAGGCTGCATAACATTTAATATAACGTTCAATAGTTAATTTAGGAAATTTATAAAATACTACTGGTATATTTTTATAAATACTATATTTTTAGGATTATCTATTTTAGATAGCACACTCTGTGCACTATCTTTGTCTGGCCAGCAGTATGTTTGCAATGAGATGCTCAGCCTCTTTCTTCAAATCCCAATGTATCCCTTCACTGTTTCCATCCTAATTTCTTTCTAAAGTTTGCCCAGTTGTGCAGAATTTGCATTGGAAGAGATGACTGATGATTTATTACACTTTAATGACAGCCTTCTCACTCCAATGCATATTCTGTGGATTTGTCTAGTAAAATTAATTAGTATTTTAAAAGAGAAAAGGCTTTCTTTGGCATCAGTTGAGACTTGAAGCTGGTAGGGAATGCTTGGGAGGCTGTAAAAGAGACTGAATTATCTGTTTATTTAATAAAACTACTTACTGGCAGGTGAGATACCTTGCTCATAAAACTATTAGTAAAAATAGCTTAGCCTAGATCTAAAAAAAAATAGTTCAATAATATGCTGATGGTCAGTATTCCTTTTCTTGGCAAAGGATTTGAGAGAATGCCAGGTGATGAATTTAGTTATTCATAATAAAAGCTGGGTTTTGTGATCCATTTCATTTAGACTTCAGATCTATATTTAATTATAGAAACTGTTATATGATTTTTGCAGAGAGATGGCAGGTAACCAAGAAACATACTGCTATTTTTATTTATTTTTTGATTGCTCAGTGGCTTTTGCTACTAAACATTACCGGTACATTGTTTTCTGGCTAAGCTGTTTGAATCATGTCTGGAAGCATCGATTGATAGCTGTGCTAATTCTATTTTATTAACCATCCTGATTATATTATCAGGATCTTAATATTTAGGGGACATTTCCCTTGTAGGATTAACTGAGTTATGTGGAAGGGATGTAAGATGTGATGGAATACCTAATAGGGAGGGCAGCAAGACAAGACTGTTAAGGGAGAAAAGCAAGTTCCTGAATCCAGGGGAAGGAGAATGTATAATAAAAAGACTCAAAAGTAACTCTGCCTTAATTACATTAGGTTATGTAAAAGAATTACTTTAATGGGCTTTCTATATTCTGTTGTATTACTCTGCTAGCAATCCAGTAATGGACTTGTCAGAAATCTAAGTAGTTCTTGTTACTGGAGTTTGTCAGCTTTGACAAATATTGTTATACACATGTGTGTTCGCATGCGTATATGTGGATTTATTCATAGTATGGATGATGTGCATTCATAATTATAGCCACGAGCAATGGTTACTGTATTGCATAAGCAACTCAGGTTATTGGATATGAAAAACAATTTCCTTCTTATAATGACTTCTTGTATATACCGGTAAGTTGCCCTGGCAATTACATGTTGTTTTGTTCAAAGTTACAGTGGACTTTATTTCATTTCAGTGCACTTACTGGCATAAGTAGAATTACAATATAATGCCTGTCCAGAAGTTACTTATTTTCCCTGTATGTTCTAAACATTTCACCACATAATAAATAAGTACTTGGGCTATGATCCAGAATGTCCACTTCCCTTTGCGATTAGGTGAGACAAAGCCTTCTATACTCACACAATGGCAGAACTCTAGTCATTAATATTTTAAGCTTTCTTGTGCTTAATATGAAACGTTTTAGACGTGACTGTATTTATGTATGCAAGAAAAAAGCAAAGTGTTTTCAACACTATTTCTATGGCCATTTATAGTTTAAAAATTGTTGATAGGTGATGCAAAATTGGAATATTCCAACCAAGGCTCTTCAGATATATCTGATTTATCATATGTGAGTAGTGGACTCCTTTTTTAATAATTATTTTTACTTAAAGTAATATGACAGCTATATCTGTCATATTATTTTAAATAAAAATAATCATATATAATCACATATAATAAATTGTTTTCACCTTAGTTGCAAATGTAATGTGGCATACTTAAGCCACCGTAAGCCATTCTGTTAGGTGACTCGGATATCTTTATTTTAACAGGTCATGATATGAAAGTAACTTTAAGAACATGCTTTTTTCTTTCTTTCCATTCTGTTGGAGATTCTAAGAGCACTAAATAGTGGAATAAAATATTGTCCATAAATAAGTAAATAAATGGTAAGAATCTGCTTGTGTAGTTCACTAGTTCAAATGTAACACTGGAGTTGAATATAATTTCAAAATAAACGTTACATGAAAATTCTGAAAATGTGTAAATACAACTAATGTAAAATACAACAAGTATAAAAGGCAGTAAGTGGACAAATATCTTTTCAAACAAAAAAATAAGGAGATTAACTTGATTTCTGTAGTTCACATAGGAAATCCTATTTTAATAAGTGGTACAAACAACCACCATCAGTTATTGTTATAACATTAGGATCTCAAACTCTTAATTTTTTAAAAAGGTTTTGAGTAGAAGAAATGCAGATTTCTTTTTAAAATAATGTCAGCAAAATTAACACATTCTGGTATCCACAATAGAGCTGATTTATTGAAAATCTTAAACATGTTAATATTGTTAACTTTGTCTATTGCAAAACCCTTCAAATTGGCTTTAAAAAGTACATAGAGAAATTGACCAGAATATGATTGTGTGTATTTTTTTAGTCAAAGTGCTTTTCGGACTCAAACTATACACAGATTAATTACAGATCTCTGCAGGTTATCCAGGGTAAAACTTCTTTCTGCTACAAGTAGTAAGATTTCTGTATTCTGTTAGTGGTTTTAAATCAGTTTAAAAAAAAAAAAAAAAATTCTGGCAAGTTTAAGATATGTGGACTTCCAACTGCTGGAATTCCCTAGTCAGCATCTCCCCATTTTCCCCACTTATAAAAAGAGTTTATGCTGAAATACAGTACCACCTCTAGCTGGGTTATATTCCTTCAAGTGTATATCCTTTCTGTTTTAATTGTTGCTGGGTATCACACAATGTTGTTTTTGGAAATAGTCTAGAAACTGGCAAATCCAGTGGACCTGGAAACAGAATTGATAGCAATGGCATAGTATCAGCCAGTTCATGTGGCCATATTTTATACAGCATGTTGAAAGGGTTTGCTCTGCACCCCTTCCACTAATATCAAAGCCGTTTTGTGTGATGTACTTATGCCAACAGTTTGAAGAAATATTGCAAGTAGAAGCTATATAAATGCTTAAAGGTCTGCTTCTCTCTTTTTTAAAGGAATGAGTGAAAATCCATCAATTTGTTTCAGTGAAAAAATAATGTATACAAATCTGTTTAAAGACATTTTTTACATTATAGCGTAACTCGCTGTGATGTATTTAAGCTCCATCTTCCTGTCTTATCCTTGCCAAATATTCACATAGTCTTAAATCCTAAACATTGTCTTAGAATTGAGTACTGTAGATTTATACTTGCTGAACTCAATGATCTTTCACACTGTGACAAGAATAACTCTATTTTTAAAAAAGAAAGATGGTTTAACGCATCTTGTACAATGAGTCCATGTGTCATTGCATGCATTGTGGTTTCTCCTTTTTCCCAGAAAGTACTTCTTCAGTCAGGGGGAAAAAATTGATTTCTTAATTACATTGCTAAAAAGAATCTGTGGAAAAAAAATATTGACGTTCCTGATTATGTTCCACTCTTCAAAGTTAAGAGCTCACTACTTCTCCATGTTAGACCTTGAAAATAATTTATCTTGTTTGCAAAATAGAGGGGCTGATTATCATACATGGCAGAAGATCAGACAGAAAGGCAGACTGGTTTCCGTCCATTAGCAGAAGAGAATCTGCCAGCGGTATTAACCTTGCTGGAAATACTACACTACCACCTGCTGTCCAAAATAATCATCCCCTTTCCTGACTTCTGGAACACCATAACCCTGAGATCTGGAAACCTTTAAAAATATGTCTGTTTTCTGAGATGTGGGTGTTGGGAGATTGATGAGGCCTGTGACACAAGTGCTATTGTTGTGACTACTGTTGTCCTCAGCTGCCATTATATGCATATTTGTTGTTACTGTTTTTCTAATTTTTTAAGTATGCTTGCTGCCCAGAGTTGCTAAAGTTGTGAGATGGGCAGCCATATAAACCAATTAAAATAAATAATAAGTAAATACCTCCCTGCCATGTTCCATTGTCCCATTGCTCAAGAAAACCTCTAGAGCAGGGGTGTCAAACTCGATCCCATTGTGGGCCATATCAGGATTTTGTTTGCCTTTGGGGGGCTGGGGTGGGCATGGCCTGATCATCGCGGCTGATTGGGTGGGCGTGGCCAGGACAGTCCCTCGCTGTCTCCGGGACAGCCCCACAAGACAACTCTGGGCCTATCACCGGCCGAATTCGGATTCACGTGTTCACACATCTGCTCTAGCAAGTTTGAACATGAGAAATAAGAAAGGAGAGAGGGAGAGTAATCTTCTGTTCATCCTGCAAAGTAATCACCGGAATACAAATTCTCCTTCTATATGCAGTACAGTATTCACAAGGCAGTGAAATGTTGAGGAGAGAGCATGAGCCATGGACCTCTTCTAGGGAACCCAGGTGTGTCTCCAAGGCTATGGCAGTGGTTTGAGCACTGAGAGTTGTTTCTTTTGAGGTTCAGTTGCAGCTCTTATCTAGTGTGCTGCACAGGTTGATCTGCTGTGTTAATACTAGTCTCTATGTTTAATTCTTTCTAAAAAAAAAAAAACAGAAATCGCCTGCCAAGAAGCTGAGCCATGCCATTAGTAAATCTCTTGGTTGTGTACCCACTAGAGATCCTCCTCACCCTGTATATCCGGAACAGCCAGAGAAGCCCCTTGACCTTGCCCATATAGTGTGAGTATATATCTTCATTTAAATATGATTTGTTCTGTTCAGTTTGATTGCTTTCTTGTTGGTCAGGTGGTGTTCTCTTGAGTCCTTTCCCCCCCTTGATATACATGGTGCTTGTGTTCAGGAGAGGTCTAAAAATGAAATAAACTTTAGGCATTGTAGAAAAAAAAAGTATAATTAAGATTTGGGTATATTGAAGCATTGACAGTTGGTTTAGTGCTCCTTCAAATACTGATTATCAATTTGAGTCAGTTCTGTTTCAAATATTCGTATTATCTTGGGACCTGACTCTAACTTATTACAGGTAATCCTTGACCACAATTGGGCCAAACATTTATGTTGCTAAGCAAGGCAGTTGTTAAGTGAGTCGTGCCCCAATGTATGACCTTTTTGCCATGGTTGCTAAGCAAATCACTGCAGTTATTTAGTGAATCATATGGTCACTAAGCGAATCCGGCTTCCCTCATTTACTTTGCTGGTCAGAAGCTAGCTGGGAAAGTCACAAATGGCGATCACATGACCCTGGGATGTTGCAGCTATCGTAAATATATGCCGGTTGCCAAGTGGCTGAATTCTGATCACATGACTGTGGGGATGCAGCAAAGATTGTAAATGTGAGGACTGATCATAAGTCATTTTTTTTCAGTGCCATTGTAACTTTGAATGGTCACTAAATGAATGGTAGTAAGTCGTGGACTACCTGTAGTTGGTTACATTTGATTTTTAATTACATATTTGTTTTTCTATAGCTAGCATTTGCAAGATTCTGTCTTTGGAGATTCTCAGTCATCCCGGTCATAGTTGTCCCAAAGGTGCTTTTTCAAGAGGCTTTTCTGGGTTTTCTTTGAAGACATTTCACTTCTTATCCAAGAAGCTTCTCAGTTCTCTTTTTCGTCTTTAAAGAAAAACCAGAAAGTCCTGAAAAAGCACCTTTGGGATAAGATTCTGTCTTCCTAAACCACCTCCTGGATACTAAAAGAAGTTATGATGTCTCCCTTATTAATATTTTTCCAACGGTCACTGTGTGAGCAAAATAATAACCATAGACTTATTGCTAAGGGTATTACATACTTGAACATTATTTAATGTTCGCAGCTATGTGCCTGAGGGAGAACAAATACAGAATTAGAATCCAAAACAGCCATCTAAATCAGGCCAAAAGTCCAGTTCAAAGTCTTGTTCATTTGTAAACAAACACATGCCAGTGAGAATCCCATAAGAAAGACAGAGATGCAGTAGCATTTTGCTGTTTATTCTCCCCAGCATAAGGCATTGAGGGGCATTTTGCCTCAGACGCTGTAAGTAATGCATATATACTGAATATGTAACCATTATGACAAGTATTGATAGTTTTATTCTACATGAAGTCTCCTTAATCCCTTTAATGCTGTTTGGATTAGTGAAGTTGCTATACTTGATAATTTTATTCTTAAACAAATTAGTTTGGCAAACTTTCTTCTATCTATACTGAACCCCTAGTTTCAGCTTAATATCTATTTACAATATAACCATACTTAGTTTTATGCTTAATTATATTTTTCTTTCGCATCAAGCAGTCCACTAAATATCATGATCTCTTTTATATCAACCATTACTTAGTGGTGGAAGTTGGATTAATGAAACTGGCCCCAAATTTCAGTTTGGTTTACTGAACTATATTTGCCATTTTAATGTCCATTTTCCAGCATGGAGAGGTATTTTTGTACTTCGTTAACTTTTTGTTTTAATCATCCTAAACAATTTGTACTTTCGAATGTACTTTCTTCTCACCCCTTTACAATAGTTATCTATATCTATTCCAAGGTGAATTTTTAAAATTTTATTTATTTATAAATTATATTCATATGGCTGGCCATCTTGCTCTGGTCAGTGTACAATAAAATAATATTAAAAGAGAATGCCATTAAAAACTTGTTGTTTAAAAGGCTAAAGTAAGAGTCTTAGATATTAAGAACAAAGGAGCTACTTCAGGAGACCAACATTCTCTTGAGACCCTGAGACATAGCCACGTTTTGAGGGACTTCCAAAAAGACAGTAGGTAAGGGGCCACCTTGGGAGGGAAGATGATCTATAGAGCAAGTGCCACAACAGAAAAAGTCCCTTTTCTGGATTCTGCCAGATATAGCTGCTTCATAGATGGTACCCACAGCATACCTCTTCTGCCAGATCTGATGAGATGGGCATTTGTAACTGGGAAAAGGTGGTCCCTCAAATAACCTGTTCCCATGTCATGAAGGGTCAAAAGTCAAAACCAGCCCCATGAGTTGGACATGGAAGCAAAGTGAGCCAATGCAAGGTGAGGAGCAGAAGTGTATAATGTGTGCCACTTTAGGGTTCTGCCACATTCTGCACCAGTTGAAGATTCCAGATACTTTTGAAGGGAAGCTCCATGTAGAGCAGTGGTTCCCAACGGACAATTTGATTTTTAATAGGGGCAATTTGAACCTTGTTTAAACCAAGTTAATGGCCTTTTAGGCTTCCTCTGCGTGAGTAGAGTTCACTTTTTGAGTAAAGTAAGAATTATATGTCACCAGGGGGCGGGGTGGGGGTGGGGTCAGGATTTTAGAGATGCTTAGGTGGGGCATGGCCAAAAAAAGGTTGGGAACCACTGATATAGAGTATTACAGCAGCACAGCCAAAAGCTGACCAGGTTATGAATTACCATGAGCAGAGCCACAAAATTGAGGCGGGGGAATAATTGGCACACAACACAAAGCTATGAAAAGTCCCGCCTAGCTAAGATAACCACCTGTACAAGCAGGAGTCTAGGAGGACCCCTAAGATGTGCACTGGGTCTATCTAGGGGAGTGCAACCCCATCCTGTACCATAGTAGCGTAGAAACAGAACTGACAGTAGAAAAAGACTTAGTGGTCCAGCAAGTTTTCCCTTTGAGTTTTTTTTTCCGTATTAATTAATTAAATTTTTATTGTTATTTATTTTTTAAAATTTTTGCTGGATGATGGACATGTGTTTATCCCAAGCATGTCTAAACTCAGTTACTGATGATTGATCCACTACCTCTGCTGGAAGTTTGTTCCAAGCTTCCTCTACTCTCTCTGTGAAGTAATACTTTCTTAACATTAGTTTGAATTTCCCTCCTCTCAGTTTGAGGTTATGCTCCTGTGTTCTTGATTTTTCCTTAATATTGAAAATATTGCCTTCTTCATTCACATCCATAATATATTTAAAAGTTTCAGTCATATAGCAAGTATTGTCCACAAATCAGCAGGCTCCAAAACTTCATAGGCATTCAGTCTTGACAGGGTTCAGCTAAAACTTGTTATTCCCCATCTAGTCCCTCATAGCCTCCAGCCACCAAGATAAGTCATCCACAGCATTGCTTAACTCTCCAGGGGAAAAGATATATAATTGAGTATCATCAAGCGTACCGATGATACTCAAGCGTCCCATGGCAACAGATGAGCTCACCTAGCAACTTCATGTAGATGTTAAACAGGAAAGGAGAGAGTACCGAATCTTGTGACACCCCACATAGCAGGGGCTGAGGATGGGATCTTTCTATCCCCCATCACCACTGACTGGAATCAACCCTAGGGAAAGGAAGAAAACCAGCACAGCTCAGTGCCACCCACTCCCTATTCACTGAATTGGTCCAGAAGGATACCACGATCAGTGGTTTTGAAGGTTGCTGAGAGGTCAAACAGAGCCACACTTATCCCGCTCTCACTAGAGATCATGTTAAAAGGGCAACCAATGTTGTTTTTGTCCCACACTCAGGCCTGAAACCAGATTGAAAAGTCTCTAGATAATCCATTTCATCCAGGATTCTGTGAAGCTGCTGTGCAGTCTTCTTCTCAACTATAAGCAGTGGTGGGATTCAAATAATTTTAACAACTGGTTCTCTACCCTAATGACTGGGTGGGCGTGGGCATGGCGGGCGTGGCTGGGGGATGTGACAGGCAGTACTCGGCCTCCTGCACCGCCCTGGGAGTAAAAACGGGCTGTGGGGAGGACGCCCCGCTCCCCTGCACCCTGTTTTGGGCCTAGGAGGCCTCCCTGCACTTACCTGGGAGCCAAAATGGGGCATGTTGGTCCTGGAAGGGATGGGGAGAGGAGGGGAGGGGCCAGCCAGCAATTTAACTATCGGTTCACCCGAACCGACCCAAACCTGCTGAATCCCACCACTGAACATAAGTCTTTTAAAAATCTAACTAAACAATGAAAGCCAGATAAACCCTATCTATATTGGTATTTCAAAGAACTACAAAATATTGCTAAGATGTGACTTGCCTTGTAGAACCCAGGTTAATTTTTTCAACATGATTCCTCTGTTGACTGGTAATTTATGTTTCTAATTTTATAACATCTTATTAATTTTATCTGGAACAGATGATGAGCTAATCACTCTGTATCTTTCTAGATCACTTCTACATTTTAAAAAACAGTATTTTCTATTTTTGATGCTGGATGAGGTAAGAGTCTCCCAGACAGTAAATTCTGGTGCAATTTAAGGTATGGTAGTAACCTATAAAACCTTATATGGCACCAGGCCAGTCTGTCTGCAGATTTGCTCTAGGTCTCTTCTCTAAAGCAGTGCCATCTAGAGCACTGCTAGAGTGATGGTGAACCTATGACACGTGTGGCCGAAGTGGCACCCGGAGCCATGTCACCTGGCACGTGCGACGTTGCCCATTCCTCTTCTGGGTTTCTGGCACACATGTGCGCGCCACAATCAGCTGGTCTTTTTGCATGCGGCAGTGCTGGAAACTGGAAGAGCTGGTCTTCCGTTTTCCTGCGTGAGCATGCATGCTGGCCAGCTGATTGTTGTGTGCACATGTGCACCAGAAACCAGGAAGAGTAACTGGCTCAATAGCTGAAACCGGAAGTTCATTTTCGGGGTGCATATGCGCCCTGGGCAGCTCCTCTTCCAGGTTGCTGCCCAGACACACGCGCACAAAGCACGTGCTCCCTTTTTGGCACTCAGTGCCGAAAAGGTTCGTCATCACTGATCTAATGGAACCCAGGAATCATGTTTTCTCTG